CAGCTGTCTCAGGAGTCCCACGAGCCAACCAGGCTCGAAAGGACTCCTTCTTCAGCTTGACGGCATCCCTTACTTCCGGTGTCCACCACCGGGTTCGGGGATTGTCACCACGACAGGCACCGGAGATCTTACGGCCACAGCTCCGAATGGCCGCATCAACAATGGAGGTGGAGAATATGGTCCACTCGGACTCAATATCTCCAGCCTCTTTAATCTCCAGATAACTATGATGAAATTACCAGGGTTTAGCTGCTCAAACTAGACAAAGAGCCACAGAGGCCATTATACAGCTGTTTTCATAGACCGAGTACTCCTCCACATGACAGGTCATTTAAATTTGACTCACTTCCTAAAATCAGTGCCCCAAGTGCCTCCTTAACATAATCTTATTGTCAATGTTACATCAATGACAGAGCACTAAAAATAAACAAAGACACGTACAGTATATACACATCTAACATTTTTTGGAATGGAGCTAATCCCAAGGTACTGACTCTGTTCCCTTAGATAATGATTGTGGCCCAAGGATGAGGAAAGATGAGATCTCAGCAGTTTTCTGCAGAAGTGCCTTAAGGCTGCAGCAGGTTAGGTAATAGTGTAATGTTACCATATACACTGTAAAGTTGGCTGACCTTCACAAACAGTATGAAATAAAAATTGCAATAGGCACAAAATTGGTTAATGAGAAAGCTGATTTAAGGAAAAAAAAATGGCCCAGCAGAACACATGCTATAGTTTAAGAGCCAAGTGATTCATTGTCAAAGAAATCAGAACAGGACTGTAATCAGACTGTGGTAGAGTAGGATTAGGCAGATCAAATGTTGGACTAATGTGCTCTGTTGACTGAGACTGGGTGAGGATTAGATAAGGATTTAAAGCTACAGGTTAGAGGCAAACTGATCGGGTGCTTCTCATGTACTTAATGATCGGCAGACAAAGTTCTGCACACATCGTTTCAGAGGCGGGGGGTAGACAGAGATCAGGGGAATACAGACAAACAAGGATTCTTAAAATGTTACATGCAATGAGTTGCCTATGTGCCAGTCATTATAGCTTCGTGCTGTGCAGCCAGACATAGTTTAAAGCCACAGAACTATATCCAAAATTTAAGTGAAGATTCCAAAGTAACCAAAATACCAAACTTTAAATTTCGTTATCTTTGGACACAGCCAGGCATTTCCCAGGTTTTTACTGTGCTAAGATTAACTAACTGTTGGTGGTAGCTTCATATTTAGTGTACAGACAGTCTTCTCATCTGACTCTTGGCAAGAAAGCAAATGTGCACTTTTCCCACAATGTTAAACTTTATCTTTAAGGGGAAACACTTTACAGTTTGTGGAATATTTTTCTTATACTGGGGGATGCTGTTCCCACATGTGTCTCATTTTCAAAAAGCCAGTTTCAGATTTTTCCACTGAGCTGGTACATGTGCGCAAACGGCCAAACTCATCCAAACACTTGGCTTGGACGGCTTCTCTCCCACTGCCACCCTGAAATCACTAGGCCCAATGAGATCACTACTTTCAGTGTCTGGCACTTCATTCAGAGCTAATACAAAAACCATCTGAACGTGCCTGGAGTCACGAAGACTACTGGTGGCTGAGGAATCATGAGATTCGCCTCACACACTCACACACACACACAGTTGTTGCCATGGTGAGATGTAAAGAGGTGCCATGTTGAAAGGAAGAGTGGGGCGAGGGGTTGCAGTGGAAACAGAGAATCCAGTGTTCACTTTCTCTCTTTTGTTTTTCAGTCAATCAGCAGGCCAGTCAGTAAGCGTTATATGCTAACTCCATCTCTGGGAAAACTGAGCTGGTAGGAACTCAAATGCTTCAGTGTTGGTGAAAGAGACAGGCAGGCCCCACTGGATAAAACTGATGACAACTGATTCAAATTTCATTTAAAGGTTCAGTCCTCCAATTTTTCCCTGTTGACAATAAGATGTCACATCCTGTTTGCGCCTGGCAGTCTTCTAGTGATTACAAGAGCAAAAGGGACCGTGAAGAGATTACAAGAGCAAGATGAGCAAATTGAATGCACAAGCCTTTGCTCAGAAATTTGATTTCCATCTTAGAAATGGTGAGATTTGTGCCTTTGACTCAGCTCTTCACCTCTGCCATCATGGCAAGCATGTCGCCATAGTAACATGTTTTATCTGAGGTCACTGTGATTGGCTAGAGTGTTGTTTCCCAGCAGCCTTCACCTTTCCAGTGAGAGCTATGGGCAGGTATTCTGCATAGTGTTGTGTGGACACAGCTAGTCCATTTAGATTAATTCAAGAGTTATGAGGTACTTGGTGCCAGCTACACCTATCTATCTATCTATCTATCTATCTATCTATCTATCTGTCTGTTTAGTATATTATTTAGTATTGAAACTTTTTGAATTGCATGTACCAATGAGCCCAGTTGTTCACCCCTCTGACCGATCAGCCTGCAACCTCCACCCATTAATCTGTGTGCATTTTAGCTTTTCAAACTATATATAGTATTCTCCATAATCTGCTTCTCTGTGTGTGTGTGTGTGTGCCTGTGAAAGAAAAGGCATCAGGGAGATGCTGATCTGATCTATTGTGACATTTCATGAGCTTTCTGGAGCTACAGGGCAGATGGACCTCACAGTATGCACTCACTCAGACAGTGAACACCCAAACATGCATGGGAGAGATCCACAAGAGTCTGGATTTGATCCATAATGAATTACATGACCATCAAGGAAAAAGTGTGTTCCTGTATGTTGTGTTTGCATGCATATGTGGACTGACTAACACAGGATATTAATTGGCAACCACTTTGACAATGGGTTTTTAAAGCTATATTTCCACTGTGTTGTGGTTTTACCTTCTTATGTGCTTGGTTCATACTGTCTAAGTGTCACACAGAGAAAAATATATCTTTTTCTCACACTCTCTTTTCGCCCCAAGTGGCCAATGAAATAAATGAAGAATCGGCTAAGGCTGCACTGTTCCTAATAAATCACATAGCCACAGCCATGGTCTCTGGGGTTTACTGCATGAGAGACAGGTCGCCAGGCATACATTTACCAGTCAATATGTCACAGTTAACGCCTGATTTCACATTGAGGGCGCGAGATGCGGCGAGAATTGAGGGCGGTACAGAGGCAGCGCGTGCCCACGTGAACCCCGGCGACCCTCTGCGCGCACGAGCCACCCTGTTGCTGGGCAGTGTCAAAATGAATTTCCTAATTTCTCATTTCTGAATTTCCAAGATGTTCCATATTCCCACTACTCAGCCCCATGGTGTGTGTGCCAGACGGATACACGGAGCAAAGGCTGCCTGTGTCAGATTTCCACATTGCCTCCCTCCTCTCAAGGGGATGGACAGTGAATGAGTGAGAGGAAGTGGGTTTGGCTGTCTCGGGTTTCCACTGACTGTCTGGAGGAATTTTGCCTTTTTAGCACCCTGGATGGGCCTCCTGTAGCCTGGCCACGGTGCACCTAATCCCGCCTTTGTCTGGACCACGCACCGCCGCGGCTTCAGTAGGCTATAGATGTCTCTGTCACCCACAGGTCTATGGCATTTGTTTAAAAATAAGTGTGCATATTAGTAGAGCTCATAACATTTATAATAAGTCAGTTACCTTAGAAGAAATATAGGTCTACATGAGAGAGGGGTTTTCCTCTGATAGGTGGATAGTGGTCACAGCCAGCGGTTCAAGTGCCATTAATTATCAGTACAGCGGCTCTCAGCATGAGATCATACCGTTTGGCTGCAAACCCTAGTGGTGACTGACGATTAGAAATGCATTTAAAATGTGAGTGTCTATATTACAGATGTAAAGATCATCTCATCACTGCCACGCAGGTACAATAGATTCTCAGAACCCCAGTGGTGGCAGCAGAAAGATGATTTAATATTAACTATTAATATCCAATTTTGAAATGGCAGCTGTATCCCCATGGTGCATATGTGGACATTTCCATGCCATGCCAGTGCAGGTGTGATTTGATTCAGGCACGTGCGCGCTTTCTTGCACAAGCACACACGCACACACAAAGGCCTACATGCACGCACAGGGTGGGACTCCGGTAGTGCAGCGGACTTACCGTGAGCACACAGGGGGATGGTGACCATTGAGATGGTCAGTATCACCTGCCAGGTCCACAGACGAGTGTCACCGCGCGCCATTACGCAGCCTATTCCCTTTGACACACTGAAGCGATCTGATTCCGTTCCTCTAGTCACCGGTCAGACAGTGGGGCTGTACGATAATCCTCACAGTGGATCCTCCAAACTTCAGATCTTGCCCGTCTTCTTCATGTCGCCGTTATCTCCCCAGCGTTTCGTGTGCGCCTGTGAACCGTTTAACGACTCTGGTTCGGTCCCATATTGTCCCAGGCGGGTGCCCTCTCCTCCACACCTTTTGCGCGCGCGTGTCACTCTGCGCTCTGGGGTCCGTCGCCAGCCCCGGCAGCACCAGGAGGAGTTGTAGTAGTAATGCGCGTGACCGGCGGAGGGTCTGCAGACGGGATTTTAATGAGCCGGGTTTGTCGCTGCCTGCATGCGACCCGTTAAGCCTTTCCCGGCAAAGCAAAGCGCAGCACCGCGTCGTGCACTGTAAATGCTCGTTAATGTCCAGCCTCAGTTTGCTGAAGCATATGGGGAATGGGGCTAAGTGAGAGATTTAAGCAGCCTCTGTTAACACTATGAGTCAGTATGCTTCATTTTTCACCACTGCTGTGTGTGAACATGCTGTATCTAAGATTCTCCCTCTCTCTGGGTGGTGTTTATGTCAGGGGGCTATATGTGTACCTTCTGCTTTTGGCCAGCAGAGAGAGGTGCTTATGTGCAAAGTGGGTGGATGATCCTCTTATTGCTTTATTGTGATATAGGCTTCAGACAGTGGCATCTGCTGCTGTACTGATCACCATCCACCCACCTTTTCCACAGGCCACCCGCCATGTAATTTCCCACAAGACGCCCTAACACACACACACATCGCTTTTCACACTGCCTGTGCACCGCTATCTTTCTGTCTATCACCCTAAATACCACAACAGAATTGCTTCCAAACACATATGTAATCACTGGTTTGACACGAATCAATTTCCCCTTCTCTTTTCCTCTTTTCCTCTTTCTGTCACAAACAGCAAACAAAATGGCCTGCAGAGGGCGAACTACCCGCTCTCCACCAAAATGGCATTATGTCAAATACATTATGAAACCATTAAAACCAAATGCTTTGTTTCTAGTGAATAAATTACAGTATCACTCATTACTTAGTGGCTAGGCAGTGATCCCAGCTCCTGCTGTGTGCACATCCTTCAGGAAATCCAAACTGAGGCCATACCTCAAATCCCCACTATGGCTGTAGAGTTGGGACCTGGCGGAGTGAGAGAGGGGGAGAGAGAGAGAGGGTGTGTGTGATGGGATGCAGAGGATGGATGAGATGGGTGAGCAGTGAAGAGAGGGGGCTGGAGAATGCTGGAGATAGGGGGGGAAATAAATTTTCACTGATGAACTGCCAAGCAGAGCAGAACAAGATTGCTTCCACGCCCACCTGCCCCCTACACAGACGTACACTCACACACATGTTTTTGCCATTATAAATACACACAAGCACATACATCCTATCCTCCAACCCTCAGCCATTCTATAGTCATTAAATTTTTTACAGTCTTTGGCTTTTTACAGACAATACTAGTTAGTTTTCAAATTGCATGGGGACAGAAGAGAAATATTTTCTTGCACAGGATGAACAGATGGATCTTACTGAGAACCAGAATGAAAGACTAGAACACCTAAGTTGACGCCAAGCTCTGTGCGTGCATGTGTTTGTGCATGTTGTGCTCAGGCCGTGTCAGTTTTTCCATCCTGTGTTCCTGTGTTGAACAGTGAGGGGTGGACAGGATGTCCAAATCTCCTCCAGTGCCTACTCTGAGTGTTGTTGCAACATCAACTCTTGGGAGAACGAGCAGCAGCTTATTAAACTATATCTACACCCATAACACCTAAACATATGACAGGTAACCGTGTGTGGATTGTCACTGCACCAGAGTTTCTATTCATACTCAGCTGTAGGCTGCACACTCATCTCTTCAGTACACCAAAATACACCTTCCTTATCCACATGGATAAATTTGCTTTTATCTTGAAAACAAAAATTGCTTATATTTCCCAGCATGCCAATTATAGACACTAATGCAATGGGTCCCAACTTGGGGGTTGTGACCCTCAGAGGAGTTTACAGGATAATGAGGGGTCTGGAAATGATAAGCAAATGATATACTGCAAACACTATAACAAAAGTTAATTAATCAGGCTGCATTATCTCACTGGCAGAGAACATAATGAATTCCTTCAATAGGACCTTTAGGTAGGACTGAAACATGCTGCCGTCCACTTTAAGAGAGATGTTCTAAGCTCTGATGTAGGACTGTGAGGAAGTATGGGAGTGGCATGAAACAAAAGTGAAAAACAAAAGCAAAAACTTAACTGTCAATTTGAAAAATACAAAAGCTATTCTCAGGATTGCTATTGCAAAGAAGTACAATCTCAAGATGAGCCTGGCTTTGTAAGTACTTCAACTATTGTTCTGATCATATAGTTCATTCACAAGGTTCATTTTCAAGCAGCATTAATGTGTGGGGTGGAAATAAAACTGGAAATGCAAATAACAGTGATAACAGTAAGGTCTAGACCTTACTTTGTAAAGTGTCCTGAGATGACTTTTGTTGTGATTTGGCGCTATGAAAATAAAATTTGATTTGAAATAGCTTTCTAAAATACCAGTTTTTACATTTGATGTTCACAAAACATTTTCTCATGAAGTACAAGCTTTTATTTAAAAAAATGTTGCTTGATTTGTATATTGTAAAATATCCTGATCTTCCTCTGAGTAACTGTGATGTGCTGCTCATTTTCAAGCAACATTAATGTGTGGGGTGGAAATAAAATCGGAAATGCAAATAGCTTGCTACACACATGGACAAAATTGTTGGTACCCTTCTATTAAAGAATTTTTTTATTTATTATTACTTTTGTCAGTTTCACGTTATTTCAGTGACCATTGTGAGTTTCTCTTTCTTTAAGGGAAGGTACCAACAATTTTGTTCGTTTATTATATTGTACACATTGTACACAGAATTGAAGGTCTAAGCTGTGCTGATCTATTTTGCTTAAACATAAATAACTTGAGAGCCCTTTGTCGCTATGTTTCAAACGCACACTGAGATATAACATTCAGTTACTGTGAAACACATCTTATTAAGTTAACACTAGGCTCTTCTTAGAAAGTATAATCAGAATAAATGAATAAACAAAAGTCTTGATGGATCACCCTGATCAAATTTAAAAGATTTCTCAGGACATCTCTCAAAGCTAATTCAGTAAGACCTAAGCAGACTATGATGTCCATAAATTGATATGAAGGCTTTTGCCCTGTGCTCTCATATATCACATACAGTATCTATCAATAATATACTGTAAAATGGAAGTTATTGTGTCACCTGTTCCTAAGGAAAGACTTTTTGTAAACATGAAGAGTATCTCCACCCTAACTATTAATACAGTCTCTCACTTCATTGTTACTGTCGACACAATGGATTCCTTTGTATAAATACTGCAGTTTTTACATTTCAAATATTTGCATGGTTTTTCTGCCCTATGGAAATCCGAGTTTGATCCTGTGATTATGTTGTTATTGCTGAGATATTTCTGGAGCTACATTTTAGACAAGGATATAGTTCATTCTAATTAATTACTATGGTTTTCCAGAGATATTACTAAGATGACTGGAGTTGGCTTCTTGATGTGGTACTCATGCTTAATCTTGTGTCTGTGAAGGGGAACAAGAGATAAAGTCGAGAAGATGTGAATATTTACTGTATGTGCTGCATCGGTAAAAATCTGACGTTTGTGTTACAATGAATACATTTTATATATTTGATTTACCTTTTACCTACACTGCTAACATCTAAGAACATAAATGAAAATTGAATGTATTTGATTTGTTTATGATTTGATTCAATAAATACTGTATATTTATCATTATTTGCTTTGTACAGTATAAACTGAGTAACCTCTGGAGTGCTGAAAATGTGGCGTTAAGATAAATGTCACATCATATCAACAGTAAAAGTGAGCTGAGCATCTACACCCTTGTGCAAATTAATTGAAACTAACTGCAATTTCTCATCTTTTCATAGGTAGTCATGAATTTATGCAGGAAAAAAATCATAAATTTACTTTTTTTTTGTTCCTTTTTCCTAAGGAGATGCTATCTCATCATTTTCTGATGCAATAATCAGTAGACACATACCCTATATTACATCATCTGTGAACATAGTTCATATAAATAGTGATCTGTGCTTTTAGGGCCTATCATTTCTAAACCAGTTGTTCTACAAAATGGATGCAACACCTAGAACGTGTGCAAGTATCGTGGTTTTACATGAACACACAGGAAAGACCTACAGGGAGATAGCAGGAGCTGTAGGTGTCAGTCTTGCAACTGTGAGCCATGTGATCAAGATGAAGGAAACAGGCTCTGTTTCTCCGAAATGCAAGGGGAAATGTGGTCGAAAGAGCAAAACCACACCCAGAGATGATGCTTACTTGGTATGGTAAAGTTTGAAAGACCCTAGAAAAACAAGTGATGCCTTATTTAAAGGAATAGAAGTAAGTTCAAACACCATTTGCAGGTGTCTCTTGAAGGTAGGCCGGAAAGCCCCTGACCAAAACTATGAAAGTGAAACATTATAAATGGGTGTTGAAATACAAGAAGTGGACCAAAGACGACTGGAGAAAAATCCCTTTCAGCCATGAAAGCCATTTTTTTCTCTAGGCACGGTGAAGTCAACATGTTCGGAGGTCACTAAATGAAAAGCTCTGCAATGCCCACACCGACCAGAGAGTAAACCACCCACAAAAAAGATGTTTTAGGGTTGCTTCAGCTATTATGGCATTTGTAACTTACATCCAGTTCAGGGCATGATGTGCTCACCACAATACACTGAACTTCTCCGCAGAAAAGTTGTTTCAGAACTAAAAAAGTTATTTCCTGATGGATCCAGTGTTTTTCAACAAGATTTAGCCAAATGTCACACATCCAAACAAGTGAAGAATTATTTTTCTATCAAATTAACACACTGGACTGGCCTGGAAACTCTCCTGATTGTTGTTGTTTTCAGGGTTTGATTTGCACAAGGGTGTAAATGATTGCTAGTTGGGTAACATCCATCCATCCATCATCTATACCATTTATTCCTGAATAGCCAATCCCAGCTGACATTGGGCAAGAGGCAGGGTCCACCCTGGACAGGTCACCAGTCTATCACAGGGCTGACATGTAGACAAACAATCACACACACTCACACTCACTCCTACGGGCAATTTAGAGTCATCAGTAGCCTACACTGCATGTTTTTGGACGGTGAGAGGAAGCTGGAGGTAGTTGGCTAACAGAACACATAAATATTGAGAACATTTTTCTGAAGGTAATTCAAGGTAACTGCAAGGTGCAAGGTGTTCTGTTGCATAAAAACAGTGTAATTTGTCAGTTTTAAAAATGGCTCCGCCCACCCTTCTGATTCTTTTTATCCACATTTCCTTCAGTGTGACTGATAAAAATGCAAAACAAAAAGACAAACTAACAAAAACTGTTTTAAGTTCTTCAATTCAAAGTAGTTCTTCACATCACTGAATTTTCATTAGTAAATGAATCGCAATTAAAATAAAGGTTCTAGAAAAAAAAAACACCTTTACCTTTTTTATATACTTATTAGCTTATAAAATAGGGAAGACCAGGTATGGTTGTAACATTTTTTGCTTCAGCACATGTAACTTGCAGAATCTTTTGGATAAAGTGCATTGTCTTACAGGCACATAATATGTTGAGCTTCCTTTTTGAACGTACGTTTTTATCTGGTGAAGGTAATTAGACAACTGACGCCCTGTGTCTGTGTCAGTAAAAGACCAGAGAAATGAAGCAGAGCAAGTTTTGTGTGGACTTTATGTGACGTAGTGGTTCTTCTACTTTATATGGCAGTCCTAGGGCAGTAAAACAAAAAACACATCATGGCTGCTTGTATAACCAGGTGATGATAACATGAAACACTCAAGTGCTTTCAAGTTAATGAGATTTTACAGTAAGGCAGACATGCAGCTTTGTATTGTTTTACAAACAAGCACAACTATCACTAGCCTAATAAAAACCATTCTAGCAAAAATAAACTGCAAATAAATCAGTTATACTGTAAACACCATTGGATGTATTGCTCTAGAGAGTTTATTATGTTCTTGCATGAAAAAACATTCAGAACTAATTAAGCTTTGCCCATTAGATTAACATTTTACATTTTGAATGACTAAGAATGAAACAGAAACCTCATTGCAATGTTTCCTCACTGAGGCATAACAATGGCCTACTGTAATCTCTATCTGGAAATAAGGTCATGTTTTAAAAATATATTGTACTGGATATTTGTCTTCATAGAACACTTCTAAGTGTTTACATATACTGTAACAAACTCACCATAGCTTGAAAACAAAAGCATATAATTAATCAGGCTGCATTGTCTGACAGGCAGGAGATATGCTGAGTTTCAGTTTTGAACTCAAAAATTAATCAGGCAGCATTGTCTGACAGGCAGAAGATATGCTGAGTTTCAGTTTTGAACTCTTTCAGTGGGACATTTAGGTAGAGCTGGAACACATTGCACTTCCTAGGAGAGGTTATATGCAGTACTCTGATGTACGAGTGGCATGAAATAAATGCATGAAACTACTGTAAAGTGAATGTACAGTAGCTGTTACCTAAGTGGATGTCTGAGTAAGTAATTTACCTTCAACTACTGTTCTGATCATATAGTTCATTCACAAAGATCATTTTCAAGCAGCATTAAAGTGTGTGGTAGAAATAAAATTGGAATTGCAAATGGTTTGCTAAAGCACCTGTTTTAACATTGGATGCTCACAAACAATATCATTTTCTCATGAGGTACAAGATTTCATTTACAAAATTGCTGTTTGATTTGCATATTGTAAAATATTGTCATCCTCCTCTGAGTAACTGTTTGGTGTTGTTGTTTCTCACCACTTTTATTAGGAAAGGTAACGCCGCGTCTTACAACACTGAGGCCTGCTGCAATGGCTCCTCCACCGTCCCCGGCACCTGGGTCAATGGCGTCGACACCATCCTCCGCACCATCTTCAATGGCATCGCCTCGATCCTCAAAGCCTTCTTCTCCGGCATCGCCTCTGTCCTCGGCTGCCCCGGCGTCACCGAACTAATTGGCAAATTCCTTTTACCACTTTGAAAGAAAAGGTCAGATAAATCAAGGAGAAGTAGGAAATGTAAACTATTCAAACTCTTTCAGAAGTTAATTTCATCTGTCTGATGAAGCTGATGTACATTCAAATGTCATATTTGTAGTTGTCAAAATAATTTGTTCAATTTCTTTAAGGAAAAGGACCATAAGTACAATACAACTGACTCATTCCTTCATCTCCAATGATCTTCAAGACTATCAACATTTACAAAGATCCAAGATGAACAACACACTTTGCTGATAATTTGTGGTTTTGAAATCAGCCTTAAAAATAAAAATTCAAAAAATGTCATCATTTTTTTTCTTGCACATTTCAAAGGACCAATACATTAGAACCAGTTGGACCAGTATGACTCGTACACAAAATGCTCTCTAACAGTAACAGCTGAACTGAACCAGTGACCAAATATGATCTACAACAACTGTTTATGAGCCTTTGTGTCTTACAGTCTATGAGCATGTGATAGTATGCAAATTAAAAATCCATGCAAACTATCATCAGCAAGTCTACAACAACTGTTTATGAGTCTTTGTGTCTTACAGTCTATCAGCATGTGATAGTATGCAAATAAAAAATCCATGCAAACTATCATCAGCAAAGACATAAAATTATTTTTGATTGTGGAAAAAGAAAACCTAGCAAAGACTAGGTGAAAAGAATGATAAACATCTCTATCATCCATGTCTAGAAGGATCAAATCAGATCTGTCATCAAAAATAAAGGCAGACATGTAAACTATTCAAAAACAATATTTAGACATGTAATGTCACTACTGAAAGATGTATTGACTTTGGCTACAAATAGAAGTGTATTAAATGGTCAGGATTAACATTTATTACTGACTGGGGCTTACACACTTTTGTTGTATACTGTATAAATATTACTATATTGCCAGTATGTAAATGTTAAATCTTGTTTTACGGCACTGTGACACTCCTACTTGGTTTTGTGAAAGGGAACCAGAAATCAGTTACCAACCAAGCACGTTTACAAAATACTTTACTTAACATTCTTACACTATAAAAATTTGACACTTTGACCTGTTTAATCAGAATGATGTAATGTGTCACAAAGGCCATATAATTTGCCTTTAGAAAATGTTTTAAATAGATTTAAAAAATGAATGCATCAGAAAATCCTTGGAGGTATATTACTTTTATACAAACTACTGTGCACACTGAAGGCATGTAATAAGTTAAATCAAAAAGGATAATGACTCTGATCTGGATTCTCTCAGTATATGTGATGAAGAATTTGTAAAAATTTGTACTTTTGGTGTAAAAGTGCCACACACTCTCATTGCGGCATAAGGAATTCTAATGCTTTTGTGCTACCATTGCTGTGTAGCTTCTGAGCACTGGGAACGCATCATGAAGACACACCCATTATTGGAAGCAGAGACCTTTTCTACACAGACAGAACCTACAATGAACCACAAAACAGCTTTTAGTTTCATATAAAACAACTTTAATGAGTCAAGTGCAATCTGCAGTTTTCTCATCTCTGACATCAGAGCACAAATATTTCACAGACATAAGACGGACAGAGCCGTTGACCAAATGCACATCAGCTATGTGCTTGTTTTTCAGCCTATAAACATGTGACTACTGAAGACTTCAATGCTAAGCAGTTATTCCTGAACATTATATCAGTATCATATTTGTATGTGTGTGTATCCTGGTTGAAGAAGATGTGGTGTGCATCTGTTTTCTGGTTAGTTCAGCTGTGACTGGATGCTGGAGGCCCGGGCTGTGCTGGTTCTATCCCATCAGACTGCGAGGATGGGTCTGAGACAGTAACAGAAGGCATTAGTGTCATCACACCAGCATTTTAAAACTGTGACAGTAGCAGTAAAGAATACTCACACATGCCGTTGGGAGCTCCAGGGTGCCGAGGGGCGATCACTTGGGCATTACCTCCACCGGGCATCATCCGGTTGGGCATAGACTGGCCTGAAGAAGAAGGAGGAACTAAAATGCAATGTCTGAACTACAGAGTAGTTAGTTAAGTGTAGGAGCAATGATAAATTGAGAGCTGAGTGACACTGGATGCATTTTACTGTGTTTCTCTTGTGTCCTAATATGAGTTAACCTGATTTATGGGTGTGTCGTGTTTTAGAGGATGTTTCATTTTCTCTTTGTGTGTGTGTGTGTGTGTGTGTGTGTGTGTGTGTGTGTCCAGACCTGAATGTTGCTGCATCGTGTATCCTGGCTGACCCTGCTGCTCCCTCTGCTGGCGCACCTTTATTTCAGCCTGTTTCAGCTGCTCTGTGTGGAAAGTCTGTCTCTCTGATAGAAGCTGCTGCCGCTGCTGCTCGAGCTGCATGACACACACATATACAAGCACACTAAATATCATTGTTATAAGCTAGACATATTAGTGATTCCTCTGAATTAGACCCTGCAGAAAAGATGTCACAAACTAGCCACTATAGTTGTTTCACATTTTACATTTTAGCAATTCCACTACAGAGCAGTGGTGAGGTTTAGATCATAAAGCGGTACTTAGTTTCATTGTCCCTGGTTTGAGATATCGCAGACATGATGTTCACTCACAGCCTCTTTCTCACGGTCCATGATGGTCTCAAGCTCCTCAAAATGTCTCAGCTTGATCTCCAGCTTCTTCATTTGGGTCTCCACCAGCAGGGCCACCAGGGACTTAATCTTCCTCTCTTCTACCGCTGCCAAGTGCTGCAAGTATAGGAGGAAAACAAAGATGAAATTTAAAGGCTATCAAAAGGTTTTGTGCAAAGAAAGAGACACCATAAATGAGGGAATGGCTGGATGATAAGCACATGTGACATGGTTAACAACAATGGAAATGGAAAAAGCAGAAGTAAAGATAAAGAAGGAAAACACTGAGGAGGAAGCGAAAAGACAAAAAGGTGAGAGGAGGGTAAAGTGAATTGGGTGTAACAGAGCGTGACAAGGAGGGACAGAGAAAATAAATTAGGAGACTGAATGAAAGAAAAACAAATCAATCAGCGCCAGCGAGGGCTGAGACAATAATGATGAGACATTGTGCCAGAAAACATTTAAAATAGTCACAGCGTTACAGCTGCTATCTTAATCACAGTAGTTCATCAAAGGAACCTCTTTGCCACACAGAGAAACTTACAAATGGGTGACAAATGAAAGGAAAAACTGGGTGGAGAAACATAAAGTGGTCCCCAAGACGGTTTGGTTGCTAGGAGACCTTGGCAGAACTGAAAGAAAGCCTCCCATTTAAAATGACAACCATTTCTTCACTTTATCTTCCTGTGAGTGGTGTGTTTTGAAGTGAGAGGGCAGGCTTTACCTTGGCCTTTGTTGCAGCTGAGGACAAGGCAGCTGCGGCTGGCATGGGAACGCCGCCCTCCACCAGCTCCTGCTCCATCACTCTCCTCCCCTCATCCCCATCTCCCTCCCTCTGCCCTACGCTCTCATCATCATCTCCCCTTCCTGGATTGCAGAGAGAATTTCATTAATACAGCCAGTCATGCAAATAAACCTTACACATAGAGAGACACACAGTACATATTTACGTACCATCTCTTTCTTCTGCAAGGATATTTTCAGCATTTTCTCTTTTGATTCCCTCCACTTTAGCCCCAGTGGGTTCCACCTTGAGCCCATCTGCCCTTACAGGGATCTGCACCAGAATCAAATGTGCAGACAAACACACATACTCTCACAGAAAGCTACTAACATCACCAACAAATACAAAAATTCTCTTCAAGCGCTTATGTTGTATTACCTGATGAGAGGTGGAGTTTGTGTCCATTCTTTCTACATTCATTGAGTCTGGAAGACAGAGGAAGGCAGAGAAAATGTATTATAGACAGTATAGAGAAACTGATTCAACTGTTTGTGATTGCACGTATATGATTAACAGTCATACCTGCTTTTTCAGGCTGGTTGAAAATGTATTATAGACAGTACAGAGAAACTGATTCAACTGTGTGTGATTGCACGTATATGATTAAGAGTCATACCTGCTTTTTCAGGCTGGTTGGACATTTCACAGACCTTATCCACTGACTCCTCTTGCACTCTGGAAAACTCCTCTAAAGACAAAAGGTCTAGAATCACTAAACACACACTCTACATTCAGTTTACCATTATCTAGACTACACACAAATTAACACTTCTCTCTCATGCTCTCACCCAGAGCAGCCTTAGCTGCAGCTGACGCCACCCGCGGGTCCACCACAGATGCCAAGAAGGCCACAGTGCTCATAACAGGATTATCTGATTGGCTGAAAGGCACGGGCTGGTACGCCAGTGGGCCAAGGGAGGCTGAGGAGTCTTCCAGGTAAGGGTCTTCTATTGGCAGACGAAGGAAGTGGAGGATACAGTCATCTTGTGTTCTGGAGCCCACGTGCTCTGATACTTTGTTCCAGTCATCTCTGTAAACCTCTAAGGCCTGAGAGAAACAAGAGAAAACACAGAGGAACAGGCAATAAGCTGGGATCATGTACAAAAATTCCAACAGATCAAAAATTAACCTAATCAGTGAATCATGTGTAAAATCTGTGACAGAAACGCAAGAGCACGAGTGACTGTCTTACCTCTAATAACAAGAGTGTCTCTTGCTCTGTCCATTCCCTTCCTGCACTCGCTCCTTTAGTCTGAGAAAGATATCATTAGAATAATAGTGACAACTTTTAGACATACTTTTAGAGAGTCATGAAAAGAGAGACTGGTAATATATTTTTTACATGAAATACAAGTAGGTATAGGTAATGGATATGTTAACTAATAGAATTTATTACATATGAATAAAAAAAGATTCCACCTACTGATTAAAAAAAAAACTATTCTTCTAGACAAGCTACCAATCTGTTTGTACTGTTACTGTGAGACCTTAGGGTGTTTCTTGGCGTAGATGTCAGTGCGCAGACCAAAGTTCTGGCAGTCTGAAGGCTTCTCTCTGCTCTTTTCTGGGAAATACAACATGTGCTGTGAGGCGGACACCTACAAGAGTGAGAGCAAGCAGCAGAGTTTAATCAAAAGTTTCTGTTCACACAACAGAACCACTTGTTTGTCATGTGTTCTCCATGTACAGATGTGTGTGTGTGTTACCTGCAGGGGTCTGTGTTGTAAGGGGGCCAGTCCAGATGGTGTATCAACCAGTACGTTAAAATGAGGGGTGGGTGGGGGTCCCATGGGTAGGGGTCTGCTCTCTGCATCCACTTGGTAGTTGATCAAACCCCACTGCTCCAAAAATGCATGAACCCTGGACAAAAACAACACTTTCCTTGATACTTATTAATTTGTGTTTCAGCTGGAAAATGGCTTCACAGATGACAAAATGTAAATACACTGACAAGTCATCAGCTGCCATTGTTAAAAGCTGCAGGCCCATTAACCACACCACATAGCTCCTTCCCAGCACTAACCGATGTAATTTGTTAACATACGGTAGCTGAACGCCCACATACTACACCTAATTTAGTAGATGCAGTAAACACCGCATGGTATCAACACCCACACTACAAGTTATACCTCATGAGAGCACAGACATCTCCGGTGAGGTTGCGTCTGCAGGATGTTGAACTGAGGTACTCCTGGGGATTCAGCCGGTACGTGTCGATCATGAAGTTGCGGTAGGCCAGGTAGCTACATTGTACAGGGATGATCATACTGTTGGTGAGGCTTTCTCCAACAATTAAGTTAATGGTGATGTCTGAATGTCAACAGTACTCACATTTCTGGAGATTTGGACTTGTTCTTTCCATTGAAAAATTCAGGCAGTGCACGTTTCTCTATTGAGTGAATGCTAGAAAAGGTTTTTTTTAGGTAAGGTTACACTCTAATGTACTGATGAAAGGATTAGAGTCAGCGTGTCTGTACAGTATGTGTTTACCTGTTATAATTGAACCAAGATGTATAGCTTGGTATTATAATGTGATGGGTTTGTTCTGTGATATTGTCTTCTCCCTCTGACAGACGAGGTATCTCTCCTCTTCCCTCATCGTCCTCCTGTACACGCACGTGTACACAGAATACATTTAATTCTGCTTAAACAAAATCACTAATTGATACAGACTATCCAACCTTCAAGCAATAAGAAACATTTTAATTAAAGAAATCCTATTTACCCTTCCTGGAAAATCCTCCTCCTGTTCATCTGGAAAAGAAGCAGTGAATGATGATGAAAAGATCAAAGAGCATACACACAAACAACAACTGTATAAGAACACTTTTATTTTAAACTCGAAACACATGAAAGCTTACCCAGGTCAGCCATGATCCCTCCCTTGACAGGAGTATTCTCACTGTCTTTCTTCAGGTTGACTGCTCAGACAGGGTAGGAAAGGAAAACCAACTTGGAGTAGAAATGTCAAGTATCTGGACATCTTTATGAGGACATTTATTCATACAAAACATTTTAGTGGGTCTTTGAATGTTTACCATTCTTGGGTAGCATGACTTCCTCCATGTTAGGAACAGGGGTAGGGTCCTCCATGTCTTTAGTCAAGTCCTCTTCTGGCTCTTCCTCTTGTTGTCCACGTCTTCTTCTGTGCATATGAACAAAAATCAATGCTGGAGCTGTGCCCTGAAATGTCAAACCAAAGGCAAGTGCTCCAGTTTGAATAAAACAACTATATTTACCCCTTCTTTCCTTTCTTCCTGCCGTCAGAGGAGGGAGGAGAGGGCGAGCGTCTTCTCTTTTTGGAGGGAGTGGACTTGGAGTCCTGAGGGCAGAGAGAGGGCAGAGTTAGGTGGAGAAAAAAAGAGAAAGCACGAGTTTAAGTGTCTTTGAAACAACAAAAATCAAGACCTTTCATTTTTTGAAAAAAAAGTTCAAGGATCACGCTTGAATTAATTGTTCAACATTTAACACTTGTGTATTATTAACAGAGAAGCCTCATTTCTTCACAAACCCGCCTTCACATACAAGCTTCACACAAACCTGATCATCTTGGAGGTAAATACGCTGACGGAGGATGATTGGCACATTCCTCTCATCCAGACAATAGTCTTCCTCATTCATCCACTCATTGAAAATGTCTGTGTCCAGAACCCATCTGGCATGGACCTGGAAGACACACCCACACAAAATCTGCATTAACGTTAAATGTTTCTTGCTAATGTATGTCTTATAAGTACTGAAAATGAACTCACATCAGATCACATCATCAGAAAAAAAATTAAGTTTGACTTTGGCAAATAAATCAACGGCCGTCAACTTTTAAGTAACGTGATGAGTTTTCGAGATGACATCATATTATATGAAAGTCACTAATATTGAAAAAGAATCTCAGTCAACCACCAAACTCACAACTGTCAGAAAAATCACACTGCTAAAGAGCAAACAGACTCCAAGCTGGCTGCCTCAGCAATTGTACCACAAATGTGTTCTCACCCTCCAGGGTCTCTCTGGATGTGGCGGCTCTTCAGCCTCTCCTTCGACATCAGCTGAGGATAGCCAACTGTCATAACTGATGAAAAAGGACAAAAACATAATATGCAAGTACTCTAACTGTGTGTGAGCACCTGTATGTGTGTATGTGTCCTCATGTATTACCTATCTGGGTACAAGCCCCAGTGTACCAAGACATGCTTGTCTTTCTGCAAAACAGGACGCATCCACTCATCTGCAAATAGGCGTGTATAAAAAATGCATCAAGTTAATTAGTACCACGGATTTAAAACAATAACAAACACAAATTTTAACTGACCTTCCTCTGTAGACACAGGTGAGGGGTAGATGTGGTGACTGGCAAGTATCTGGTCCTCAGTGACTGAACCCTGTGGAAGCACATACTGTGACCCAGTAGCACTGAGAAGGAGCTACATTACCATCAGTACACTTGTTTTAATCAGCCAGTCCAACCTTTAGTTTACTTCTAATTTATCATTCTGTTTTACATTTTTGATCCTTATTAGGTCTGTCCAACCCTCTGTCCACTTAACCCCTTCCCAGCTCTCATCTGTGGATCTTTACCTGGTGCTTGGTGATAATATCAGTCAGTCTGCTAGTCAGCTCCTGATCCAGTGTGGGGTCCAGATATACCACAGGCAGCGACATACAGTTGTTCTGTAGACACACAAAATGCAGGTGCATGTTCATCAGTGGTGTGTATATGGTGGGCTGGTGTCAGCACATGTGTATGTGTGTGTCTTTGTCACCTGGATCAATGCTCTTTCAATAGCACCAAACATCTCTACATTCCTTTCAGTCCTTGATGGATTCTGCAAATCAAACCTTCTCCTGTGAAGGTAGGGAGAGAGACAAAGAAATATTAAGGACACAGTAAAGAAGACTTAAACAAATACAGAGCAGGGATACCACTGTGAAATGTCAATGACACATAAGACTACACACCAGCCTTGGTCGGCCTTGAACTTGTAGGCAGTGCTAAGAATGTGGCAGAGCCCACCCCCTGGTCGCAAGTCAAGGAAGCACTGTGCCTGTAAAGAAATTATAATGACTGTGGTTTCTCTTGTTTAGCATGTGTTTAACCTATTGTACCAAATTCCAATACCTATCATCAGTCCCCCTTTGCAAAGAGGCTACCTTGGACATTCAGATTGATTGTGTTTTTATTCTCCGGATTTTTAACTGTCAACAAAGAGTGATTAATGTCTAATATGTACCCTTACTGTTGACAAAGAAATCTATCCTTCTTTGGTCATATAACAATATAGTGACATCAACCACTTCAAAAACACACGAACTCTACCACAACATACATCATGAATTTCAATGAATATCAGGTCCTGCTAACAACCAGAGGACCAGGTACTTTAGAGTCAAGTGTGATGACTCACAGGCAGTTTGGTTAAAACAGGACTGGTACTCTGTCTGCCAAAGACATCCTCTTGAAACTGGAGAAGCTGCATGGTGACTGCAGCCAGAGCCTGGCATGATGGAGGGTCCATCAACACAACCTGATAGACACACACATTTTCACAGGGATATGAAGAAGATATTTTCAATTTTAATGTTAATCATTATGCCTTATTATAGTCTATAACATTAATGTTACCTTGCTTGGTTTTACGAACTGCTTCACCAACTTAGCTGTGTTTATTCTGATAAACCTCTAGGATTTAGTACCATTTGTGTATCCTCTTTTATTATAAGTAGTTACATCACTCTTCATCTATACATGGTGAACCACTGGACACGCTAGCAGGAGATGGGCTACCTTGTTAGCAACATTACCAAATGATCTGAAATAAAGTTTGTAAGCCAACTGTAACATATAATATACACACATAACTGACACACACAAGGCTAACTGTAACCAATATACACACATAACTGACACACACAACACAAAACAATAAAGAAAAAAGATACAGAAAATAAACATATAGAATATAGCAAGAAAAAGAATAAGTAATAAAGTGATCACGTTTCTGTGGTTCTCACATACGATCTGTCAATTTTTGACAGGTCCATCAAATTCACTGTACTTTTTGCTAAACCAGGATATAATTAAGCAAACTGTCTCTTACAAAAGTGGTATTACACCTTTTGTCTAGTATATCTATGTAATCTATCTTTAAAGTTGATAATTTGGGTCTACGTAGGCGTATCAAGCCAGGTATGTTTGACTAACGGATAAGTGATTCAGGTTTTCTTTTTATTACCCTGATATAATCAGATTCAGAACATTCTGAATTGTATCTAGTACTGAATTCCCCATCCTCTAGCAACTTTCTATTTTCATCAAGCAGATGAACAAATATCCATTTTTTCATAAACATTTCCTTCCTCTCAAGACAACTCTGTTATTCCACAGTGTTAGCTATCTTCCTAGCCAGCTAACTACCTTTTTGTAGTGCTTCCCGATCCACTGCCGCACCACCTCCAGCTGGGCTAAAGTATCCGGACTCTCCCAGAACCTGGAGGACGGACTGCTGTCTTTTTTCCGGTACGCAGCCGTCCCAGTGCTGCACTGGCTTGTCCCAGGAATTGCGAGATTTGCACCCCCAGACATTGTAGCCATAATAAAATGAGATTAACTTAAATCGATAGACCACTGGCTAGCGCACTCGCTAGCTTTTGTGTTCTCGCTTTCTCTCGCGAGACACATCGCAATTGTCACAATTCAGCATAAAGGTTTGTTATTTTATAGGGATCAATTGTCTATCATTTTTAAGATTTCTTTTTAATGCATTTGTATGCGCTTTGATTTAATAGTATAGGTTTGAAAATACCAAAATGTTATTATATACACACACAAAATAATATCAACCTTTGGAACTTGCAAGTACTTTTACTTTGAAATGTAACTTTACTAGGAAATAACTGCGCAACACATGAAAACTGAAAAGTGAAGTAATATTGTTGTGTAAAAAACATATTTTAATGCTCCAACTGAAAACTTCCCATCGAATATTCTTTCAGATGTAGTTAATATACGTGAATTCGTTTCCGTTTAGTAGGCCACGTATCATTTGTGCTGTTGCCGTATTTCCGTTCTCATATTTTAATCTTCCACGGGACTGTCACCTTATCAGGGAAAACAAACTCCTGTCCAGCCGATGGCTTTTATTTTCCGTCGTATTCTATATTAGCGTTACACTAACCAGGCAGTTGAAACAGCTCTGCGTGGTATTGAAGCACCAGTCACTGTGTAAGTAACATTAGCTCATTCTCACTCCATTTTTTTCCCAGGCCCTGAGATGGGCGTCCAGGGTCTGACCACCTATGTGGAGGGGAACAGAAACTTCTTCCAAGATGTGAAGTTCAGGGACAGCTACCTGGTTATTGATGGCTGCAGCCTGTATTTCCGCCTCTATTTTAACCACGGTTTGGACCAGCAGCATGGAGGAGACTATGATGCTTTCGCCTCTCTGCTTACTCAGTTCTTCGATGCATTGTCAGCTTGTGGCATCCAGCCATACGTGGTTCTGGATGGAGGTAAAGATGCTTAGTCCATTCAAAGTCATGTGCCCTATTAACTACCATATTTTACTAAAGCTAATATGGTTAACATTATACTCTGTTTAGAGTTTTACAGAGCATTTAAATCTTAAAATACATTTTTAACTGTGAATTATATTTATAGAGGTGATCCTTAAAGCCTTTTAGTCTTTCTGCTTTTTCCTCCACAATTTCATGTAATTTGTTTAATTTTAGTTTTGCAGATAAATACAACTAAATTAAATTACATTTTCTTAACATTATTCTCTGCAGTTGTACCACCCACAAACATTTCATTTGTCTTGTATTTATGATTATAAGGGATGGACCCCAGTGACAAGAAGTTTTCCACTCTGCGGCAGCGTCTACAATCCAAGATAAGGGAGGCAGACAGTATATCTCATGGCCGCAATGGCTCTGTTCTCCCTATTCTCACAAGAGAGGTCTTCATTCAGGTCCTCATCCAGAGAAACGTCCCACTGGTTCAGTGTCCAGCTGAGGCTGACTGGGAGATTGCATGTTTGGCTCGCCAGTGGAACTGCCCAGTTTTGACCAATGACAGTGATTTTTATATCTTTGACCTACCAGGTGTGGGCAGTGACTGGACTTTGAGGTTTGTACTGTAAGTAATTGTTAATGTTGTTTAACATATCGTTTATGTGCTTTCCTCTAGGTGGTTACCTGCCACTCAGTTTTTTTCAGTGGACCAACCTTAATGGTAAAGCCTCTAACCGCTACATTTCTGCTCGGTGCTACACCACTAACAGTCTTTGTCGCTGGTTTGGGGGCATGAACCAAGAGTTGCTACCTTTATGTGCTGTCCTGACTGGTAATGACTATGGTACTCCAAAAGATGCTGAAACACTTCTTGCCCTGATAGATGTGAGTGGAGGAGGTGGGAGGGGTAGAGGTAGAGCATCCACCAACCGCATCGAGAGGCTACTTCTCTGGCTGTCCTGTTTTCAAAGCCCGGTAGAGGCCCTGGAGGAAGTGAACAGGCTAATGGGGGAGGAAGGCGGTAGAGGTAAGAGAGGACAGAAGGGTGGGCTCAGTTCACAGCTGTGGGAAGCTATGCAAGACTACATCATCACCTCTCAAAGCTCTCTTGCTCAGTGGTTCTCTGGGGGTAAGGCAGCTGTAGGAAGGCAGACCTCTGGCCTTGCACAGATACCAGAGTGCCTTTCACAGGCTGCAGCACGAGGGATGTTGTCTCCCTCTGTTGTAGATGCCCTGGTGATGCGCAGGGTTCTGCTCCTGCCACAAGTGGAGAACAGCAGGCTAGGCAGCAGCCACTGTAGTGCCAGAGCTATACGTCAGGCTATATATGGGATATTACTGCACAGAGGCCTGCCAGGTGGTGCTAGCCAAGCACAGGATATGAGGGTACAAGGAAAGATCAACCAGGGAGTGAGAGGTGGGAGAGGGCGAGGGGGTAGGGGATGGGGAGGCAGTCAGAGTGGTGGAGGTTGGGATCAGGGCATAATTTTTTCCACACAGCAGGGTGTAAATGTAGGATTTAGCATTAATCAAGAAGCTGATGCAACTAGAGTGCAGGCTCAGGGCTGTATTGCCCCCATTTATGTGGAGGAGTATGACCGTCAGGACCTGAATCTGAAGAAAAATCCAGTGGAGGCACATCCCATTAGAACCCCTATTTGTCTGGATACACTTGGACAGGTAAACACAACAATAAAAATATTTTCTTACACAGGTATATTTGTTTTGTTTGTTTGTTGTTGTTTTTTTTCAAGAAGCTGTCCTCATGATATATTTTCAAAAGTTGTACCTGATTTTATCCAGGCTCCTGTGGCAGTTCGTCTTGGCGCCCTGTTAGAGGTCTTGGGGGTGAACGAGTCTGTCCTGGCTCCTGTTCCTCTCCACCTGAGGCTGGCTGTTGCAGTGACAGGCTTCTGGCTTCGAGAGGCCATACCAACACCCTCTCAGCACCAGCTCCAGGCTGTGCTACTGGGCATAGTTTATGGAGAGCTGTCCGGGAACAACCAGCCTGGAGCTACCCACTACCAACATGCTGGTCAGCTGTGTTTTGTCATTTCATTCCACAAGGTTACAAAGACTAAAATGCACTTCACTAACAAGCCAGTTTATCCCTAATGAAATGAATCAAACCTGTTGCTGCTGTGTGTCATCCAAGTCCCACAGTTAAACTGGGCCACAGAGCACAGTGTGTGGACAGGGCTGGATCGACAACGTCTGAGGCCAGGGGAGAGAAGGGGCTTGGACATCGGAGCAGCTCACAGTTTCAGCCAATGGCAGGCCTGCCTCTGGAGTGCGCTCTGTCTCAATCAGCTACTGCTGCTGCCACTGCCTGTTCCCCACCTGTCATGGTAAAAACTGTGACATAAAATAGAAAATATGTGGAAATACTGTTTGTATTTTTCACCTATTGATCAAACACAGGTGAATGAGAATTAGAGGAGCAGTAATCTCCATTTCATTTCATTCCCTCCGTGTGTGTCTTAGTTTGTTCAGTGGAACATTGCTGCACGGCCTTCTCAGGTATTTAAACGGGGGCCAAGCTGCTGAATCCCTCCTAACCAGGGGTTCCTTGTCTGGACAACTCTACTCACCACTCCTGGATGCTGTGAGGAATTGCAGCACCAAAGCCAATCCCGCCTCTTCAGCAGCAGGGAGGAAGAAGAGAGGAGGAGGCCGGGGAAGGAGAGGAAGAAGGGGAGGTGGGAGAGGAGCGAGTGGATGGAGTCAAGAAACTGAGGAGATAACCAACAGGTTTGCTCTCCTGATGAGCGACCAAGACTATGATTATTATTATTGGTGAGGATGCAGAGAAAAATGTAAAGATTGATCGGAGAGACTTGTTAGGGACCAAATGGGGAAGGTTTAAAAGCCATGCTCAGGGAATGCTAAAAAATAGCCATAGTCATGTGATGAATGACACCTCTTAATATTTACCACTATGCTTCCACCTCTATAAGTGGACTGCACTAACGCAGCCTTCCTCAGTAATATCTGATTTTTATGATCCAATCTGCTGCCTTCTCAAATCATGTGATCTCAAGATAAGAGTAAGAGTAATGCACACTCTTGCCATTTTATAACAGCTTTATGAGTATTATCACTGTAATTAATGCAGATGCTTCCAGTCTTTCAGTGTTTTATTCAGCCAAGTCAAAATAAGATTAGAAAATGAATGAACTAGTCCTATTTCTTCACTGACCAAAAAGTTGCATGGCAGCTAATGTCATCTTAATAAGAAATGTACAACATTTCATGTAATTTTATGACAGATATTGATGAATCTGGTGCTCTTGTTTATTATTCACCTTTTTATATAGGTTACAAAATCTAAATCAGATTGTTTTTAATGATCATGTCCAGCTAGTTTTTACTCATAACCACATATGGCTGAAAATAAAATGTTTAATCATTCTCAATAATGTTACGTTTTAAGTTATAGCGCATTATAGAAGCACTATTATTCAACATGTACACAACACAAGATTGACCTGTTCATAAATACGGTATATATACTCTGTAACAGTACATAATTCACGTTACCTTTTTCTAGTAAGAAGAAAAAATCCAATTTAAAAATCCCCCCAAAACCAACATAACACTTTCTCATTAAAATCTTCCTGGCTCCTAAAACATATTTGTGGATAGTTTCCCATGGGCATTTTTAACAAGAAACCCTACTATGCAGACTCAGGTAATAGTTAAAAGCTGTGTATGTCTGAAATCACTCTCTGCTCACTATGTACTGTGGTCCCCATTCTGTAGTGGTGTCTGCATGTGCAAATCTATCCACTCTGTATTGTACACAAAGATTCCACCATGGAACGTTTTGCTAGCAGTTCGCAGTTTTCAGATGAGAAAATGACTTGTTAGGGACTCTACAGCTATAAGCAATAATGGAGAAATGATGATTAAAGGGAGCCCTAGTGTAGCTTATATAAGGAGTAGTGGATGAGGAAGTGATTTCTGACACAGAAAAAGAGAACTTTGGCTATTAAATTATATTAAAAACCTTCTATCTAATTTCAAATAAACCCCAAGGCTTGGCCATCACAAGCAAACAAAGACCAGGTTAAAAAACACTGAAACCTACCTGTAGCCTATTCAAACAGCTCACATGGTAAATTCAGTGTAATGTAATTTTTCACAGCACCAATGATAGTAATGGAAGTAGTGCTATGGAAATGGACATTATACTGGATTTATCAGGACCGCTGGTAAATATAATTAGGGTACACGGGACAGAAAAAATGGCCTGTTTCTAAAGTAAGCCTGTCCCACAGTGAGGCCAGGTTCTCACTGCCACTGAGGCAAATAAGGGTCTCTGCCACCATCTGAACATTTACAGTCGCTACCTGAACACGGAAAATGTACATTAGCATGAGCTGTCTAAGCATGAGTGAGTCTTTCTGAATGGGCCTTGCCTCGTGTGTCTCAATACCACAGTCGACTGGAGGCCTAATGCAGTTGTGAATGTCCCAACTTAATATACACTGACTCTTCCTCTTGTCCTATGAGGATGATGAGCTTGAGGCAGATGAAGATGCAGCAGGTGCAGCGTGTGACTGAGAGTCTATGAGGTCCATGTCTTCGTCTTCGTTGACTCCACACGTGTCGACCACGCAAATCAGGCAGCTAGTGACGGGAAACGCTCGCACTTTGCTGCAAGTCACCCACCTGAACAGACAATAGAAAACCTCTTTAGAGACAGCATGAAAAGGAATAAAGATCAAACTTTCAGTAATGGTGGGGACATTTTTAGAAATTGTGAAGAACAGTTTGTCTTACTGCAGTAGTTGGCACTATTATGTCCAACAGTAATGGCTAAAATAACCACCCAAAACATTGAAGGAATCAGAAACAGCCAGAGCAAACAACAAACAAAAGTTGATTAAAATCACTTTTGCTGACTAAAACAAATAGAAGAGATGTTGAGGCACTGATTGTCTTTTTCATTATTTTTTTCACATCGCTCTCAACATATCAGTGACAAAGACATCTGCGATGTCTATTTGTGATGATATTACTGGTTTTATTTTAGTAATATTTATTCAATACACTGACCTGTCGGTGTCAGTGTGATACTCCAGGACGTGTCCAAGTCGCCCTACACCTTGAAACCCTGCCAGCACATAGATGACTTCACCGACCGCCGCACATTTCACTGTTACACCTCGCCATGGCATCGGTGAGGCAGGACGCCACTCATTACTGGCAATATCGTAGTACTCCACTGAATCCAATCCACCTAGTAAAACACATACACACACACACACACACACACACACACACACACGCTTATGATTTCAGTGGCTACTTGTTTATTCTTGCTAGTACCATATGCTACAGCCATTACTCATCACAATATTTGTATTTTTACCCAGTGCCCCCTGTCCCCCCACAGCATACATCCTATTGTTGACCACCACCAGCCCGTGGTTCTTCCTGGCCTCTTTCATCCCACACAGCTCCCTCCATCTGGGGACAATAGAGACAGATAAAAAAAAAAGAGATGTGTAAAAGTGTAACAGAGTAACACTTACATACTCTGAGTTTAATACAGCAGTGCAACAAGAATCAGCATTTTTTTTGCATGCAAGTGCTTATTATCAGATTTGTACCTGCATGCTTGGCTGAAAAGGTATGGATACAAGGACTTCACCCAACATACAGTCTTTTCCCCTCATATTCCCTTTCATTATTTAATCCATACAAACTGTATGCTAGCCAATGGCAACAAAAAAAGTCTCGGGACTGTGAGTACACAGACACTTTGTGTATCATCCTTTGGGCTACGCAGGGATGTTTGTTTATGTGACTCACTGCTGTGTGGCGGGGTCGTAGGCCTCACAGTTGTTGAGGACCCTGCCAGATACATTGTTGCCCACTGTTCCTCCACAGACATAGATGAGGCCATTGGCCTCCACTGAGCCATGGCTGCACCGGGCCATCAGCATGCTGGCTTTCACCTGCCATGACTCCGTCCTTGTGTCGTAGCATTCAAAAAGGTCCATTGCTGAACTACCTGTACACACATGCACACAGTGCATTACACCATAAATAAAGGCTTGCAAGAGGGTGTGGTATTCCTTCCACGAGGTATCAACAATGTAATTTTCCCTACCTGACTAAACCAAAAAAAAAAACGTAAAATCATAATGAAAATATACACCACACCGTCACCCCTTACATCTCTCTGCTTACCCACTTCTGAACCCCCGGATGTGTAGATCTTGCCCTGCACAGCGCAGGCAGCCAGGCTGTCACGTGGTGTGGGCGGACCCAGCTTGGAGTACCAGCTGTCCTTCAAGACATTGTAGCAGTCCATGCGCTTGATAGGAAAAAGCTGTGAACCACCCAGGATGTAGACCACATTATCCCAGAAGACTGCTGTGGCATCTCGGCGCTTCTCGAAGGGGCAGCGGATGTCTGTCCAGCTGGAGTCCTGCATGGAAAGCCAGAATGACACTTGACCTCAGGCAAATATTATAAAAGACTATACTACAATGTTTGAGCAACATCTAATCCAGATATGGTGGAAAAAATGTACTTACAAACTCTCATCTTTTAAAAAAGTATGAAAATGAACCTTTTGTTGATTAAAATGTAATAAAAACTTTTGTTTCCAAAGCACTATTCTAAACAGTTACAAAGCCCTAGAGCATAACAGTAAAAATGCAATAAAAATTAAAGTACAGCACAAAATATAACAATAAAACAAGAGCGTAATAAGAATAAGACCAGAATAGGAATACATACTTTCAGTATAAGAAAGGCTATCTGATATAAGTGAATTTTAAACCTGATCATGCAAGGCCTTAAAACTTATAAGCAAAATCTTATCGTCACCTCACATATGGAACCATAGCAAATACAGTGAGGAACAGAAGTATTTGAACACCCTGCGATTTTGCAAGTTCTCCCACTTAGAAATCATGGAGGGGTCTGAAATTCACATTGTAGGTGCATTCCCACTCTGAGAGACAGAATTAAAAAAAAAAAATTTCAGGAAATCACATTGTATGATTTTTAAAGAATTTATTTGTCTTGCACTGCTGAACATAAGTATTTGAACACCTGAGAAACAGCAAGAATTCCGGCTCTCAAAGACCTGTTACTGTGCCTTGAAAAAGTCCACCTCTACTCCACTCATTAATCTAAATTAGTAGCACCTGTCTGAGCTCTTTAAAGACACAAAATACTTCTGTTCCTCACTGTATGCAGGAATGAGAGTGATGTGGTCTGAGTTCTTAGAGTTTGTTACAAGTGTAGAGAGGAGGACGACGGTTTCATTGAGCTAACTGTATTTTCAAGGATTGACACACTGACTGGTTCAAGATGAGTGAACAAAGGAACAAGCTCCGAAGAGATTTCAGATGATGGGTGAGAAACGGGACAGCAAACATGGAATTACAATTCTAACATGTCTAACAGAAATAAACAAATAAAACTTCTGAACACATTCTTGAGCATGATCAAGATTCGATTTAGGAGGTCTGTAAATTAAAACACAAAATAGGGCTCTTGATGTGAATAGAAAAAAATAAGAATCTCAAAAATAGTAAAATTGCTCAGAAAAACTTTAATACTGAACTACATTTGATGGTTCTTGACATCATAATTACCCCTGTGTGTAACATTTGGTTGCATGTGCAGCCTGGTACCTTGGGGTTGAAGTAGCGGCAGGACTGTGGCTGGGAGCCTCCGAACAAAGCAATGCGGTAGTCATGCTTCTTGCGTCGTGGTCGGCTGCTCTCTCCCAGGTCCTCTCGGTCCTCCAGGGACAGCAAATGGTAGCGCATTCCACCTGGGACAGAAGCACAGGATGTTTATATTTTGTTTTTGTGTGTTCTCATGTCAGTCCAGCAGGCCATAGTACCAATGTAGATTTAACAACTCACATGAATCTCAATTACCTACAGTGTTATATACATCTACAAGCGCTCTACCAAAACCTTGAATTTTACTCTTAATAAATACACATTTTACTGTTATTTTAATACTGTATGGTGCAGATAGTTTATCTAAGATCCAGACTATATAACATTTGCCTACACATGGCAGAAAATGTCAACTTTCTCATCACTACACAACTTGTGCTTGTGTTTTTTGTGTCCCCTCACATGAACAATGTATATTATAGTGTGTGTTTATTATGTCCACTTGTGACCTGGAGTTTGAGTACTTGTGTGTGTATACTGTACGTATGTTTCTCTCTTCGCACTCACTGATGACCATCTTCAGGCACTGTGGGTTGTCCTGGATGAGAGGCTCAGCCTGCACCGTCTTAGACAGAAAGGCTTTGGAGACCAAAGGGAAGCGAACACACCCCAGCACCTCCACCATGTACTGTTGTCTGTTACACACATCATACTTCAACCAGCGCACTGCTGCGTCATAAATCTGAACAGGAATGCAACAACAAATCATGTAAATATACATGAATATGTAGATATGCAGTACATATCACTCAGCTTTGTTCTGGATTGTGGTACTTCCTCAATCTTAAGCAAAGGTCTGCTCAAGTATAATAGTGATTCAGGTAGATTTCTACAAAATTATAGCACAAAAGAAATCAAGCATATAGGGCACCTGGGCCTCAGCACGAACAGTGAGTTTGTCCTGGTGCAGCAGATATGTGAGCTGTGAAACATCCAGATGCAGGAACTCATCCAATTTATACACTTCAGTAAAATGGAGCTGGAAGAAGTCCTCTGCTGCTGCCTTCAGTTCAGGACAGTCCATACAGTCTGCCAGGGCTGAGATACCTGGAGGCGGAAAACACAAGATCAGTCAATGTGATGAGTTACTGCATGTGCTTGGCAGACTGGACACCATGAGATATTGGATTGATTTCACCAAGCCTTTTCAGTTAATGTCAAGCACCAAAATAATTCACTCAGCTGGAACTTATCAGCTGTCAGTCTTAGCACGTGAGATAAGATTCAGCCTTGATAAATTGCTTTTGTGCTTCTGTTCTTACCCAGGCAGTTTGTTGCATCAATCTGTCCTTTGAGGAATTCCACACACATCTTCTTCACAGGCTCAATCTGGTACTGGTTGGCTGCATCAAGCAACGACTGGACATTACTGCTGTTCACTGAGATTCTAGCAGACACACCACATACACAGTGCATTTGGAATAAGAAACCAAAAACACAGAAAAAAAACAAGAGGCATGTCTCTCAATAAGAACTTTCCTGGCAGCATCAGGCCACATTCTTTCTTTTAAAATGTAAACTGTAATTCCCATAATTATCCTTCCTTCATGTCATAACTTATGCTCATTCTTACCGGGCTGTGTAGATAAATTCAATCAACAGTTCAATGATCTCAGGCTCAGCGCTCCTGAGCTCCACCTCATGGGACATTGACTCCATCATTCTGGCTGAAAGTGAGGAAACAAAGTTAGATTTTATCCAAGAAACAAGTTGGGCATAA